TAATGTCCTTTCTCTGATGTTGGGGCCACCGTAACATACCAAGAGACAAAATACGATATTTGCACGTCTGGCGTCCCTACACGCCTTATACCCGTCCTTGCTACATTGAAAGCAAACACACCTTCTTTCATCACGCGGTCAAACAGCAGGCACTAAACCGGAATATAAAACATGAATAACTCCTATGCATATATAATTACATTCTTTCTCCCATTTTCTCTCATATGCGTTCACAAAAATAACCTCCCAAAGTACGGTGTGTGTAGCAATGCGTGGGTACTAATTTCTGTAGGATCTTCAAAGGAACGTGAGGTGTGGCATCTCCCTTATGGAAACGATACTATTCGATTGGTCAATTCCGGTTATATTTCATCAGTTGCTATCTTTAATCAGTTCAATCGGGAATAGTACTTGTCTGAATTCAATGTCTGCTTTTGCTAAATGAACTCATAATGCACAATGCTATTTCAATCACACCAGATAGACAGCATCACATTCTTGGGGTGTAAAACAACTTTGGAAGCGTTAATAAAGACTTATTTTGTTTATGCCAAGACCTTTTTCGCTCCATATTGTTGTAGACTATCCATTTTTAATCGCCTGTGATAGTTATTTTTGAAAATGGTCGTTTTTATTTGCGTTTGAACCAAAAATAGCAGATGCTTCAATATTTATTTATCAATCGTTATTGCGCGATCAAACCAATGCAATATTATTTTAATACTTAAAGTAAAAATTGTAAAAATTGCAATTAGCAAATTTTCAAATCTTTTCTCTTCCAAGAATAGCATTTATCACAATTGCTACCTTTTCTACCAGGCTGCATTGAAAACACGAAGTAAATCTCTAGAAGGTTGTCTGGATATATATATATATATATATATATATATATATATATATATATATATATATATACGGCCGCTTGAGAATAACCGGGTGCTGTAAGCTTGGGGGTGCGGGTGGTGTAATAGAGACGGCTAGGAATTGGAAATCAGAGAGTCGAGTTCAAATTTCAGTCGAGTTCGCTATATTCACTTTCGCGCAGATGTTCTTGGGCAAGGTATGTATCCAACTCTTCTCCCCCAGCTAAAATATTTTCTGGCTTTAAATAACCTGCAAAAAGTTGATAAACCGTAAAAAATAATTAATCAATCAATCATTCTCTCTCTCTCTCTCTCTCTCTATATATATATATATATATATATATATATATATATATATATATATATATATCGTTCTAATACCGATAAATAGCGCATAAGTTATTTTTTAGTTGGGGACCAGAAAAAAAAATGTTATATGTGTCGCAAGACTACCATTTCTGTCTGGAAAAATCCCTGGGTAACAGGAAATGATTATAAGCCTAAATGTGTGGCATTTTGAATTAATTTCTGTGTTGTTTTATACTTAAACAGAATATATTTTCTAGTAAATGTATAATTTTAAATGACCAAACAATTGAAATTTGCTGTTGTAGAGTAGGACTCCATGTACTTCCGGCTTTTCCCTACTACTGCGACAATGGACTGCTCCTACTTATAAATATGGTAAGTAGCCACATTAGAGTAGGATTTGAGTTAACTCAAGTTTTTCCGTTCTATGCAAGAGTATTTAATAAACCTCTTCTTTGTTTTCCCCTACTTAGTCTTCTGCTCCTTTGATACTCTCTCTAACTACGGCCTTCCTAATTCTCGGTTATTTTGAACAAAGACAATATTACAACCTTTGCCGTCAGTAAAGCGATAGGTACCGAACGAGTAAAGAATAACTTTCCAGTACGATTCTATTTTCGATAGATCTCCCCAAATGCGGCAACTGCTTTACCGATTAGGCTTCGGAGATCTCCGGTTACAGAAACTCAAATCTGAGCATAAAGTTTTCATTCTTATTTTTCTCAAACGCCTAAAACGTTGCTATCTTTGCATAGACAAATGGTATCAATTGTAATATTAGCTGAATTTCTAAGATGGTATATTAACATTATTAATTTTTTAACAAGTGTTTCTTTCAACATAATATCGATCGCTAAAAACAACGGCGATCGGTAGTCGATGTAAGAGGCAGCCTAAGGAAACCTATTTAGATATTTTAAGAAAGTGAATCCATATTTTGATGGGGGACAGTGTCTTTTAAATCAGCGGTTCTTACAGATTTTTCCTTAATCACACCACTTTCAAACCACTAACCAGTTCTCGCACACCTTTCAACTAACCAACCCGTTCTCGCACCCCTTTCAACCCACAAACCAGTTCTTACACCCCTTTGAAACCATCAACCATTTCTCGTACCCCTTTGAAACCATCAATCATTTCTCGTACCCCTTTCAAACCATCAACTATTTCTCGTACCCCTTTCAAACCATCAACCATTTCTCGTACCCCTTTCAAACCACCAACCATTTCTCGTACCCCTTTCAAAACACCAACCATTTCTCGTACCCCTTTCAAACCATCAACCATTTCTCGTACCCCTTTCAAACCACCAACCATTTCTCGTGCCCCTTTCAAACCATCAACCATTTCTCGTACCCCTTTCAAACCATCAACCATTTCTCAAAACCCCTTTCAAACCACCAACCATTTCTCGTAAAATTTTCAAACTATCAACCATTTCTCGTACCCCTTTCAAACCATCAACCATTTCTCGTACTCTTTCAAACCATCAACCATTTCTCGTACCCCTTTCAAACTATCAACCATTTCTCGTACCCCTTTCAAACCATCAACCATTTCTCGTACCCCTTTGAAACCACCAACCATTTCTCGTACACCTTTCAAACCATCAACCATTTCTCGTACCCCTTTCAAGCCACCAAACAGTTTTCGCACTTTCTTCCAGAATTAAGGAAATGAATAAAAATAAAAAATAAAAATAAAATAAATAAATAAAAATAAAAACATAAAAATAAAATAAATATATATACATAAATAAAATGACGGTAACATCAATATTTACATCATCTTCCAAGCATAAATAAACACAACAGAATTGAACAATATTTAAACATCACATTTCAGCAAACAAATCTCAGCAATATCTGAGCAGTAGTTCCACAGAAAACAAACTTCCTATCGCTGTTTCCAACATTACCGCCGTTTTTACCAGCAATTTCCGGTTATTGTTTCCCTAAGTATATGTCGGAGTTAACTCCACCTTAATTGTCCAAATTGTTCACTAGAGGGCGCTCTCCCTGCACTATAAATACTGAGCGACTTCTTGCCACGTTCTCTCTCTTTTCATCAGGCCTCGTGCCGCATCCTACCTCGCGTGGGGGTGAAGTAAATACTCTTTTTCATTTGTTCATTTTCAGCGAACACATCTACAATGTAAGCTCTCGCAGAAGATTGTGTCTTCCCTTTGTGGGAGACGCCATGAACATTATACACACATACACGTACGTACGAACATTCACTAAAATTCAATCTCTTTACGTTCGCACACAAACACAAACGTTAATGTCTATGCCCATTGTAAATTCTGTCGTTTAATACATATATTTGACACACACACACACACACACACACACACACACACACACACACACACACACACATATATATATATATATATATATATATATATATATATATATATATATATATATATATATATCGGTCTTGTTGGTTTTCTTTTACTTCTTTATGGTGGATTCAATCTCTGGAGTCCGCCATGTTCTTTGTAGTGGACCTTCTTCTAGCAGGGATAAACGCACGTGTTCCTAATTTAACAACACGAAAACCCACACGGTCCGCTACATATGTATTTATGCCATTATGATAGTAGCAATTGGTAAAATTTCTATAATGTAAACTTTTATGTCAGATCGCCAAATAGTACACTACAGTTTCCTTGATGAATGTTGTGGTAGGATCCACCTAATTTGCATAGTGGAGTACCGACCATATAAATATGGTTGGTACCGGGAAGAGAGGGAGGAATCAAGAGATTCAACCAGAGACTCTGCCCGACTGCGACTCAGTCAACACATTCTCCAGGAACGGTCTTACCAGGAATATACAAAAGACTATATGTAAATATTGTGTACACTTTCTTGTTTCAATACATTTTGTTCTAAGTACATTTTGTGTTGCATTATTATTCCATGCATTAGTCAAGTTTCAACAATAAACCAATCCCAATGATTCATTATCGTCACTCTCGCTAGGAACCGGTATCGCACACCTAGCGAGAACCCCTGGTTAAGAAGCGCTGTTTTAAACATTTGCCATTTGAATTCAAATAAATAAAGAAATCCAATAAAATTCCGAGATAGTTTTTTTTTTTTAATTTTTTATTTCCGTCATAAAAAAATCCATTTTTATTTAACCATGTTTCATCGATGAAATTTAATTTGATGGGAACATCGTGGACAGTTTAGCAATTCCAGGTGTTCAAATGCGATTTAAGTCGTTGGCTTTTTTTGTTACCGGAGCTTTGGGTGTTGAGGGTGCCGACCAGTCGGCTTTGTGGGTGTTAAGGAGCGGCTTGTACGAACCAGAGGACGTATAAATGGGATTTAGAAAATTCGCTGCAGCGGAAAATGGATACAAATGTGAATAAGACAAGGATATGAGATGATTACTCCTTGGGATCTTATACACACGCACACACGCACACAGAAACACATACACAGACACGCGCGCGCGCGCAAACACATATCACAAGCAGAAAAGATAAGCACACGGAGAAACCTACAAACGCACATGTACACGCACACGTACGCAGTCAAGTAGAGACGTACATAATTACTTGGCTAAAATAAAGAGAGAAACGAGCGAGGCAAACAGCTCGATGGAAAGATACGAATGGCACCATTGTTAAGTGAAGTTGGGGAATACTAAGCTATGAAAACAGAATTGGTGAATTTAGATCGAATATCAAAAGGAACTGCTTAATTCACATTAACTATGTTAGCTACGTAGAGAATAGGAGTAATATATATATATATATATATATATATATATATATATATATAGATAGATAGATAGATAGATAGGAACAGGCCGACATAGATAGATAAACAGATAGATAGATAGATAGATAGATAGATAGATAGGAATAGGCCGAGATAGATAGATAGATAGATATGAACAGGCTGAGATAGATTGATAGGAACAGGCCGTCATAGATAGATAGATATGAACAGATTTAGATAGATAGATAGATAGATAGATAGATAGATAGATAGGAACAGGCCGTGATAGATAGATAGATAGATAGATAGATAGATAGATAGATAGATAGATATGAATAGGTCGAGATAGATAGATAGATAGATAGATAGGAACAGGCTGAGATAGATTGATAGGAACAGGCCGTCATAGATAGATAGATATGAACAGGCTTAGATAGATAGATAGATAGATAGATAGATAGATAGATATGAACAGGCCGAGATAGATAGATAGATAGATAGATAGATAGATAGATAGATAGATAGATAGATAGGAACAGGCAGAGATAGATAGATAGATAGATAGATAGATAGATAGATAGATAGATAGATAGATAGATAATTTACATACAATAGAAACTAAACTAAACTGATACGAACAGTAGATAGACATGACTAGATCGAAATAGATATTAGTAGACATAAATATGAATAAAAGAAAATTTGATATGAACAGAAATTGATATGAATGCCGTGGTATAAACAGATTATGAGATATATATGGATTGACAATTGAACAAAGGAAGATTGATACGAATAGAGATAAATAGATAAACCCGAACTCACTGAAATCGGTAGGTTAGTACAATTATAATGAACAGACTGAAAAAGATTGATGTCAGAATGAAACTTCTATTGTGAGCACCGGACTGATATAATATCCGCTGATAGTTTCAAATTTATATGTAGAAATTAAACAATATACTATTCTTTCAACCTGACACAATATCCCTTTTGTCTTTTTAGTTATTAACTAGGGTTAGCTGAAGGTCGTCTTAATAGCGCACCAGCGAGTCTTCCAGTAAGGATTGAACCCACTACACGAGACAAGCTTTTCAGCCATCACACAACAATTGTCGCTTTCTTAGGCATCGTGATCCGGGAGATTTTTTATGTTACGCTTTAGTTTACCTTAGTCTGACACAAGGTCAATATAACAGGTTACCGTGTGAGAAGAGAAATGAATACACAGATATAAAAGGTTTTGCCAAACACCAAGATTTTTTTTTAATCGAACAATTGACTGATTTAGACAAGATAGCTATATTCATATAACTACAAAGCAAACACATTTGTCTCTGTACAGCGGCTTCTGAATTAGTTTTGAAAAGCATTCATAGTTAAATTTTCGTTATTTTTTGGAACGTGTCTTGTGGCTGAAATAGTTGGGTATTTCTCGGCGGCGATGATAGTGGGCATCAGGAATGCTGATTTTCCAGGTCCGTACGCCTTTTACATTGAGAATATTGACGCTACAATTAAATGTTACATTTCTAGGGAGTGCAAACAGTGATCAAATATTTCGAATCCAGGTAAAAAAAATGTGACAGGGAAAAAGTCACGGTAAAAAAAGTCACAGGAAAAAAACACGACAAAGCTAGCACACAGCGGACAAAATCTCAGTTTTTTATCCCAAAAGTGGACAAAATCTCAGCCGTTTATCATAAAAGTGGACAAAATCCCAGCGTTATAAATAAATTGAAAATTTAAGGTATTTAAATTCAATTCTTAATGTCAAATTGAGACTTTCTTCACATATGGGGTGCGATTGCTAAATTGCCGCCATTTTATATTTTTAATTTCGCGCAGGCGCATTGTTTGTTTTTGATTTTATCGGCTGCACAGTATAGTAGGGTCAAATGGACACTGTGAGAAAAAGAGCACCATGACACAATTCACCCCACCAGAAATTTGGAAATGGCATGTTGTACTACTTGGCATTCGCGCCGGAAACTCCAATACAAATATTTCAGTGTGTTTGAGTGTCAATCTGTGGACAGTGCAGAGGAATTGTAAAGAGTTGGATGAATCTAATGGTGATTATGAAGATGTTTGGAGTGATCACTAATGAAGGCGACGTTATGCCTCCATTCATCTTCCCACAGGACCTCACTCAACACGGAGACCTACATCAATTGGCTTAAGGGGGAGTGGTACCTCGTGTATAGGCAATGCGGAACTACAGCACCCCCTACTCGATATAATGAATATTGTTATTGAATATAATGAATATTTTTCTTTAATTCTTTCTTTATACTTGTACATTATATAATCCTTAAGCTCAATATTAGTAGTAAGCTCTTCGTTCATGAAAAATGGCAAAAATTCTTGTATGGAACTGTGTCCTTCAGAGTTACAGTAATGAAGAGTTTGGCTGCTGTGCGCATGTGCTCGCTGGCTAGAAAGAGCGCTGTCTCGCACGCAGAGCCGACCCTGTTGTCCGAGTGTAAAGTAGTGTTTAGTTTTGATTCCGTATGAGTTGTGCTTAAAAAACCATGTACCCTATTCTTGAATGTGCTAAACTGTAGATGATTTTCATGTTTTTTCCAGATATTCTATTTATATTGTTTTGTTTTTATCGGATGTTTTAATGTATAGAAATTTTTAATAAGTTAACCATAATCTCCAAGAAATAAGTTCTGTGACAGTAATTGAACTTCAACAAATTACGTTTTCACAGTTGTCTCTCCATGCGAAAGACATTCAAATATAAGTATTTACATTACAACTTGGAATATGCATTTACATTATTCGGACTGTTATCCTCATCTTCATTGCGATATTCACGACGTTTCAGTTGTTGTACGCCTTCTTCAGGTGATTGGAATTTCGAACCAAACTCCTAAGGTAGATTGGTCAAGTTCCACGCGTTATTTCTCTTTAACTCAACTCTTTAGTTCACTACTGCTCTAGCCCGGTACAACTGCTTGGGTCTAGTCAATGGATCTAACCAACCCCTTTATCCACTGTGCCACGTGACCATGAGGGACATCCGTGTATGAATTTCTCGGACTTATAAACCTACTGTCTCAGCACCCATTTTTACCAGCGCTCATATTGCAATTTTTTGTTATTATTATTGCTTTTTTTTTTACCAGAGCTTATATTGAATTTTTTGTTGTTATTCATTGTTTTTCTTAGAGATCTAGACAAAATTGGATAAGCAACAACAAGGGATATATTAGATTTAATTCTGAATAATACAAACAGAAATGCTGACTCTGCGGATGTAAGATGAAAAATGCATTGTTTTCCTTCTCGTGTTTGCTGTTTGGAGATGATGTAACGTGGACAAAAGACGCTTTTATAAATATAAACAAAATGAAAGAAAAAAACTGATAAACATGAAGTCGAAGAAGTATATTGAAAATGTGGTTTCACTTTCACTTTTGGGAAATGTAAATATTAAGTTATTTAGAAACTTAGTGAAGCGTATAAACTTTAAATCAATGAACATCACATGAAGATTAAAAAGAACCGTGGATTTTTATACAAAATAATAGACTGTATTTTATTTTGTGGAAACTTTGAAACTCCCTTACGTGGACATAATGAAAAATATGATTCAGGAAATCCAGACGTATTTACAGGTTTAATAAATTTCCCATCTAAATTAGATCCAGATTTGAAGAATCACTTAGAAATTAGTATCGTTTTTTTCAAATGTGTTTCTAAGGCCATTCAGAATGAGATATTTGACTGCCTGCTACAAATATACCATGAGGAGATAAGGACAGAAATTGGGGAAGCTTCCTTTGTAGGCGTGCTGGCTGATGACACAACAGATGTTTCGGAACACACTCAAATGGTCATTGTTCTTGATATAATGGAATATGCGTACACCTGTGTTCGCCCTCACTGGAATATGATTGGCTGGTGTCCATCATAAATACCGACGGACGTGTAGGAGAGTCAAGAGCCTTAGTCTGAGAGCTAAGTCTATAACGACGCACATTGGACTACGCCATTGTTCTACACTTCTTACCTGTGACTACAACGCGTACCAGTGGATTACTGCTACCATATTCTACTTGGTTATCGTAGCCAAAACCACTTAGCTACTTCGTTCAAATATATGCCTTTCCGGGACATATCAGTTCTACAGAACGTGCTGAATGGAGAAATATTAGAATGCTTTTGGGGATTCTTTATTCCAGAAAATCAAAACGTATTCTAGAATAATCAGATATATTCCTTTAAGGTAATGGACAAAAACTGCTAGCTCAGACATTTGATGGTGCAAATGTCATGAAAAGCAAAAAAGGGAGGAGTTCAAGCAAATATAAAAGCGGTTTATAGTAGTGCACATTTCATTCCCTGTTATGCACATCAACTTAATTTAATAATGAGAAATGCAGCAAGTATTACACGGAAGGCAAGAATATTTTTCTCTAACATTTTGGCTATTTCAACATTCTTCTTAAGATTACTACAACGTGTTTCCATTCCAAAGAAGCATATGGGCGTCAGCATTCCATATCCATCCTTGATAAGGTGGAACTTTAAAATACGGACCGTGAATAAAGTTAATGAAAATGTGCAAAATTTAAAAAGCTAAATTACTGAAATTCAGTTAACATCAAATGTAGGTCAAATCACTGCAGAAGCAACAGGAAGTTTACAATACCTGAATGGTGATAAGTTCATGTTTTAGTTAGAGTTTTTTTTATTAGATTATGACTAATGTTGAAGTAATTTACAACCAAATGCAATCTCAAGAAATTAGTGAGTTTAAAGTCAATGAATATATAACAGATTTCAAAACTGCTATTGTAAAAATAAGAAACTCGAATACTGTGAGAATCCTTCAAAGGCACAGATGGCAGAAGCAAATAAAGTGCATGACTACATATGTGTTGATATAATGGACAGATGTTCTTCCACTAAACACTTAGTAGCTGCTAAATTGTTCAAGTGTAATTAATCTGATTTGAAACAAATGTTACTTTTAGTTTAGAATATAGCAGAAATGCTTTTTTAAACACGGCGGTGGGTGATTATTTAAGATATTTACAGGTTGACAATTTGACTGATAGACAGAATTTTATCTAATTTTTTATAGTGGACATGTCTGTAACAATTTCTTGAGGAATATAACGTGAGCGCCTTTTTATATAATTTTTATAATTTAAATTTACTATAGTTATCGCTCTTATTTTCTGATAATGTCGTGCATAGACTTCCGTATTTACAAAAATCGACGCACACACACAAATTCAAAATTATTTTTAAATTACTGTGGGTCACTGAAGTGTAGTAAGTTGTTCTATTTATGATTAGTAAAAATTATTTAAAGTTTTTAGTTCGACATTTTTATCTATATTTACTTCGTATATTTACATTGATTTATTTTATACATCACAAACATTTTTATTTTATTATTTTTATAGAAAAAGTTTTCATATTTATTTATAATATGCTAAATAATAAAAATATTTACATAATTATTTCTTTATTACATAGTAAATAATAAATATTATCTTTTAATTTGGTCATATATTTTTATAATATCGTAAAAATAAAAGATTTTCACAGTAAATAATAAAAATATTTTTATAAATATGTAAATAAATAATTTATTGTCAGAGTTCACAAATTAAATTCTATCCACATGTAAAAAATATTGTTCTCATATCTTTTATAATCTTGCAAATAAATTTTTGAATAAATAATGTGTTTGACATTTTTGTTGTCACTTCTTGAGAAAAATGCATAAATTCATTTTTATATCATATTGTTTTATTAAAATTCTAAAAATAACTTTATAAATCAGTAAAAATTGCCGTGGGATTATAAGCTGAGATTCTTTTTCTCATAATGAGGCCCCAAATTTTCATTTTTTTATTTTAAATATAAGTATATTTCTGATCATTTCCTCTCCTCTTTAAAGCTTCCTCGTTACTCACATATTCTGTACATAGTATTCGCCATATTCATTGACAGAACTACATCTAGCTTCAGGTGTCCTTTTCATCCGTGAGGAAACATCTAACATAGCAGTTCACAATTTTCTTACTTTCCTAGGATATTTTCCTAAGTAGTTAGGAAGGAAGTACCAACTCACTTGGAAATTAGACGCATCACAATCTACTTACTCCAATCTTCCTTCTCTGTGCTAAGTGAGACGAAAAAAAATGTGTAACTGTGTATTTCTTATCGTTCACAGAATTTGGTGCTCGGGACCAGGATTCGAATGCTGATTTCCAAAGCATGCACTCAAGAGAGACTTACAGTACAATACTTTTTTTGATGTACCATATCCCTTCAGGATGTAGTTCATTATGTTCTGCTATCCATTTGCACAAGTTACTTGCTGTTTCTCTCTGTTCCTCTTGTTTTCAGTATGACTTGTGAGTATCAAATTCTCCTATGCTTCTTTCTTTCAACTAAATCTTTATGATTCTAAATACAAGTATGTAAGAGTATCGTTATGACATAACAATTCAGTACTGTTTCCCTTGTTTCTAATAAAATTTTCCTTTATCTTAATACTATGTTTAACTTTTAGAAAGTATCTTTCGCTACCCCAATGCGTCTTCGGATTTTGGTGTTGCTTTTTCCGTCCTAGATATTTAAATTTTTGCATCATTTAATTCGGGTATCTCCAATTTGTAATTTGCATGTTGAACTGTTTCTTTTGCAGACAACTATATCTTCTGTTTTCTTACAATAGATAATTAATCCTTTCTTCCCGCTTTCTTTTACTACCTTCTGTAGGAGTTCATGTAGTTTTATTTCTGTGTTTTCTATCAATGCTGTAGCATCTGCATATCTAATGTTATTAAGATTGTGGCCGTCAATAATGAATCCTCATAGGAATTTAAATTTTTAGCATTGCTTCAATTTAAGGGTTGAATAAGTCTGGTGAGACGACACATCCTTGTCTTACATCCTTTTTTATTTTTGTGTATTTACTGAATTCATTTTCTATCCTTATGCAGAGGGAGTCTGAATTATTTTAATAGCCCTCCCAAATAAACCTTACTTGAATAATATTTCAAACATTTCTTTGTGACATAGCTTAATACTGTTGGATAATCACATGTATACATCCTTTAGGGTTTGAACTGCTCTTTTTGATACCATTCTGGGCATAAATATTGCATTCCTTGTTTCAGTTTCTTTAACGAACCCGCACTGTTCTTATCCTATTTTGGGTCTAATTCCACTACGCACTCTATTCATCAGAATTCGGATGATAAGTTTTGTAATGAGGCTCATTAGGCTGATTACCCGATGGAGTTCGCATTCGTTTGCATCTGGTTTCCCAGGCAACGCTATGAAAATGGATCTACTTAGGTCTTCCGGTATATCACCTTTGTTGTAAATTTCATACGGTAGAATAATGGATTGTAGCTCGAATTGAGCAGTTCGAATTTCAGTCGAGTTCATTACATTCATTTACGAAATTGGGAAATGTATGAAGCCATCTCTCCCTTCTCCATATATGGGTAAAAAGCAGGACATTTGGGGTTCTATAGCCTTTGATAGCAACCGGTCTAGGAGAGGGAATTCAAAACTGTATGTCGCCCTGGCGAAGTACATACTATGCAACTAGGCAAAGGATCGCTCGATGACCCCGATGACTGCGAGTTCTGGGCATGATGACAAACTACATCCGGCAGCAAGGCCTCTGAACGGGAGATTGGAGCTTTTGAGGAGCGTGGAACCACCTCTTAATTGCTATTGTTCCCAGGTCTACCCTGGCCCGGGGTAGTAGCACCTGTTAGGGTCCTAGCTATGGGCAAATAGTGAAATCCCCAACAAAACACTATGAAAGTATAAAAATATATTTTTATAGCAAAAATACCAGCAATACATTTTTTTTATATAAATAATAACAAAAATTCTTATTTATAGTATCATGGCCAGCTATGCATTTTGTCTGTAGTTGAAGGCATACAGTTGCTTTCGAAATATATTTAGTTGAATCATAAAATTGTATAAATTATTTACATTTCGGCGTTAAATAACCCATAGAGGTGTTGATATGCCGCTAAACAAAATCAACTAACCAACCAATTCGGCTACGGTCAATTCTTTGTTTTTTTTTAGGAGTTCCTGTAGTTAAATTTCTATGTATGTGATTAACCAAAAGAAAAAAAGAGAGAGAAAATTGTAGAACTTTCTTTCACCAGCTTGGTTTGCATATTTAAGATTTTTTTGACGTGTTCAATGCAGAAAATAAACGTAAAGGGATTCTACATTTCTGTCTTCCTTTTGGAACCGGCCTACGAATCTTTTCCGGGATGCGATTAGCGCAGCTTAAATTTAAGATGGCCGTTATAAGCAACGACTATTGACAACGTCACATATAAAAAAATAAAGTAAAAAAAAAAATCTTGAAGACTAAAAAAATGAAAAACCGATGAAATATTTGGAGTTCGTTGGAATCTGATTAGCCTTTGAGCTTCTGCAAATGACCCGCTCTTCGAACATCATTCGGACAATAGAATATAATTTACTGATCGTTGAAAACTCTAAGTGCTGAATAATAAAGCGGATTACTTTCTGAATAAAACACGCCACCTGGATACAAGGTAGGTAATTGTATAAACGAGTGAACGAAAGGCTCGGACAAACAGAGAAATTGAACGGAGGGGGTGTGGCAGCTTCTTGTCCTGTGGCAGGGTAGCCGTCTGTGCCATCACGTCTGAACGGGGGTATTCAAATATGCTCATAACGGAATCGACAATGCGGACTTTTTATAGAACAGACAGCGAATAGAAGAGTATTTTATTTCTGGTGTCAAGGATTAAGATGGCCGACAATAGGATAAGGAAGAACGATATCTATTTTACCTATTAGTTTTGTAATTGATCTGGACTGGCTTTACAGTTATCCTGGGAAAGCAACCGACCCATTTAATACAACAATGTCTTATCTCTTCTTTCCGTTACACTATGCCTCTCTCTCTCTATATATATATATATATATATATATATATATATATATATATATATATATATATATATATATATATATATATATCTATCTATCTATCTATCTATCATATCTATCTCATTTCTATCTATCTATCTATCTATCTATCTGTTCATTTCTATCTATCTATCTATCTATCTATCTTAGTCTGTTCATTTCATCTATCTATCTATCAATCTATCTTAGTCTGTTCATTTCTATCTATCTATCTATCTATCTATCTATCTATCTATCTATCTATCTATCTATCTATCTCAGTCTGTTCATATTCTATCTATCTATCTATCTATCTATCTATCTATCTATCTCAGTTTGTTCTATCTATCTATCTATCTATCTATCTATCTATCTATCTATCTATCTATCTATCTATCTCAGTCTGTTCATATCTATCTATCTATCTATCTATCTATCTATCTATCTATCTATCTATCTATCTATCTATCTCAGTCTGTTCATATCTATCTATCTATCTATCTATCTATCTATCTATCTTAGTCTGTTCATATCTATTTTTCTACTGACGGCAACAATGGTAATTTGTATTATCAAGAAAAAAGCCAGAGCTTTAAATGCTGGCTTTTAAGGGAGGTAAGCTTCGTACTACGAATTTTGACGCTATACAGTCTTCCTCTCGTTCTTTCATTTAATTTGGCATGATGCTAAATTAAATTTTAATAATTTTCCTGATTTTTGTGCCCTTTTCTATCTCTATTTGGGGGTGGGGACGCTTTTGGGGGGTGCTTTTACCTTCTGTTGCTGCTGGTATCTTTTATTAAAATTGACCGAAACAAAGTTTAATTACCTCCTAAATTGACTGACGCCGCATAAAATCTTACAAGTCTGATGTCGGTGTAAGCGAAACTCGGACGAAATCCAGCACTGCGCGCATTTAGGTAACCGTCCTGAAAAGTGTGGTTGGTGTTATAGAAGATTTTACCAAATCAAATCCTATGTTCAATTCTAAGCGCTGAACTGTTGAACCCTCATAGAATCATATTTATATTGTATATCATTAGGTAGTAATTCTTCTACGCAAATTTTATTAAATATGGCGGAGTTGAGTGTTTTATCATTTTGTGGCGAAATTGTCCATCGTGTTTGCTTATCCGATTTGGTTTCACGCTTTCGATTAATATTTTAGACATTTCCACTTTTAATACTGAACTACAAACTTTATTACAGTGGAACCTCGACTCACGAATTTAATTCGTTCTTGAAGCCCGTTCGTAACCCGAAATGTTCCTAACCCGAAATTATTTTTCCAATAGGAATCAATGTAAAATAGATTAATCCGTTCCTGGTCCTAAGATGATTGCTTAAACTTTAACAACAGTACTTTGTGCACAAGCTTATACACAAAACTAATGAAAATCGTTAAATCAAAGAAAAAAGTAAAGTAAACAGATAAAATCTAGAGGAACATTTTAATTTTACCGTCCGTACCTTTAAGTAGAAGAGTTAATGGCGTCAGTGGAAGGGAGAAGGAAAGAGATGTTATTGTTTGGAAAAGGGGAGGAAAGACATGATCGTCTTTTTATTTATAAGAATAGTAGAGATCGTTGATTTTGCCATATGAAACTGAATAGGAAGAGACAATATCATCAACAATTGTTTTTCTCTTAGCTTTTCTTTTTTCTTTACCAGTATCACTGCTAGCTTTCTTTGGAGTCATGACTGAGGACTAATGAAGAGGAAAAAAGGCACAGTCCAATAAAATTGGAAAAGAAAAGCACAACACATGAATGTATACAACATGGCGGTCGACTGAGAAACGAGTCCGTTCGGGCTAACTCGGTTCGGTTCGGTTCGAATCGGTTCGAATCGGTTCGGGGCAGTTCGACACGGATCGGCTCAGTTCGGCTTGGTTCGGATCGGTTCGTCAATATTGTTGGAGAACCAAAATTGTGTTCGATAAGCGAGGGATTTTCATCTCGAATTTTCTGTCCGAAAACCGATTTGTTCGACATGTGAGACGTTCGAGAACTGAGGTTGCTCTGTATTTACGTTATTTCTATTCGGACTATTGTCCTCATTTTTGTTATCATAACGTTTTGTTCCCTCCCCACTTGCTTTAGGTGTATATCGCGGGTGACCTCATATGTATATCTGGGAAACCTGCAGGGTATTCTGAAGTGAACACTTTATTTAATCTATGGGAGTAGACTGTTCTTTTTCCACTGCACATGTCTAGGGATATCTGTTATTTAGTACTGTCCAGATATTACGCGACCGTTTCCACTGAGTTCCAAGTGCACACTAACAGGGATTGAATTCACTATCACTATGTCAACAAATTCCCAATCAACATTTTCTTGGCCATATTTCCGTCCTGAGTAAGACAATAAACTACATCCGTGTCCTGGGTAAGACGATAAACTACATCTGCATCCTGGGTAAGACGATACACTACACTCGCGTCCTGGGTAAGACGATAAACTACATTCGGCCGCAAGGCCTTTGATCATGAGGTTTTGAGGAGTGTGGAACCACCTCTTAATTGCTAACGTCCCCATGTCTACCCTGACCCGGGGTAGTAGCACCTGTTAGGGTCCCAGCTATGGTAAATAGTTAACTCCCAAAAGGGGTTAAAACCCTATGAAAGTGTAAAATAGGTTTTAATACCAGTAATATATTCTTGTAAAAGGTTATTAACAACAATGAATTTTGGAAGAAAAAAAATATTACCAACAATACATTTTTGGAAAAAAAATATTAGCAGCAATAAAAATCTTGTCGGCATTAAATAACCCATTAAGGTCGATATACCGTAAAAGAAACCAAACCAACTTGGCTATGTTCTACCTCCTGTTAGGATTACTCGGCACAAATTTTCTGATGAATTAAGATCTGAGGGTCGTTTTGTTAACTCCGTACTTTTTAAATATTTTGGCAAGGTGGGCAATATATTTGCGATGAGTAGTTGTCATCTGTACCGTTCGAGAAACGTCTTGTCTAAGATCTTACAACAATCCTCGGAATTTATTTTGAAAGCATCAATGTTAACGGAGGCCAGAATTTTACTGTTTTCTGTTTTTAACACGAGTTTAAAACCTACTTCACCTTCTCGCTGTTGTCTTTTCAATCGTGTTGGTTAAATATTTTCGGGAAGAACCTAACCTGTAGCCCAGTCTCAAGCCCATTAAATGTACTTCTACATTTATCACTAAACACTGCTGTTGAGAAATCGTTTTTTTTTGTATCATATATATACTCACGTATCATGCGACTTTTGAAGACCTAATTTTGGTTAGTCTGGTTTGGTTTGGTTTGGTTTGGTTAGTCTGGTTTGGTTTTGGTTTGGTTAGTCTGGTTTGGTTTGGTTTACAGCATAACAAGCTCAATAGGTCATTTAATTTCGACAAGATTTTTATTGCTGGTAATATATATTCTTTCAAATGTGTATTGCTGGTAAAAAAATTTCCCAAAAAGTATTGCTAGTATTAAAACATATTTTTATACACTTTCTATTGAAAAAAAAAGAAATTTTGTCGGCACTAAATAGCCCATTGTGCTTGATATGCCGTAAAACAAACCAAACAAAACCAAACGATTCTTCTGTTAAGCTTAAGAGGAATTATACATTCGTATTGCTCAAACTGG